ATTAATTAAGCCCTGTGAAGATTGGAACTATGTCTACTTGGTTCCCAATTATACGCCCAGCGTGTGCCAGGGATATAATAGGCACTAAATAAATATTTGTTAAATGAAAGAAAGTTAATGAAGAACGGGTCCTTGGGCCTTCCTTCTTAAAAACTATGGGTTATTTTGGATGACCTAAAAGTCCCTAACTTTTCTCAGAAACCTACAAAGCAGCCAATAGGTTAAGAGAGAGATTAATGTCTGATTTCCCTTCCTTCTGGTCTAATTCCTCTCATTTCCCTCCTGCTGGATTGTACAGAGATGAACATATAATTGACATGTGGGAATAAAGAGGCCACAGCTAGAAACTGGCTCTGTGACTCTGAATACCACCTACCCTCTCTGGGCTTCACCCCAAAGGGATCAGATTAGGATCCTTCACTGATAATAGTCTGTCCAACTTTGATATTTGAAGTGATGTTCACTGCTTTGGAAAGGTTTCTGGTCAGGTTTTCGTCTTCCAGGGAACTCACCTGTGCCTGTGAGCTCAAGACCTTACCCAAAGCTTTGTAACTCCATCCCACAAGCAAAAGGAAAGCTCACAGGACCAGGCAAAATTTTTAGGGCAGCCATTTTGTTTCAAGATGGAAGACGACAGTGTAATTTAACACCCCACAGAGGGCAATTTCTTTTGAAAGTAGTCAACTTCTTAAGGAGTTGAAGTGGAACGAAGGCCCAAAAATATGAAATCACGAAGAGTGGGTTGGACCCAGAGCCCTCCTGGATTCAGGGACATGGAATATGAGGCCTGTCTTGTGGAAGGCTCAGCTCCCCCTCCCAGCCCTGGTTGTATGGGCCCTGCCCACAGTTCATCCCACTCTCCTTCCACACTCAGGAGCTCAGAGTTTTTTCTGTTTATAGCCAAGCACACACTTAAAAATCCCAGCTTCTTACCAGCTCAAGATAGATTCCCATGGAAACCGGCAAAAAGGAGGAGAGGCAAAGATAAATACCTTTCTTTCAGGCCCCGGATGCATGTTAATTGGCCTCCTCCCTCCCACCCCTGTGGTACAAATGCAGGAAAAAGCCTGTTGAGATGGTGGGTCCATTGTCTTGTCTCCTCGGGGGCCTAGACAGTAAATGCCTGAGAGCCCCGTTTCTATGATGGCTTCCCCTAGAAGTTCTCATGCTGTCACCACATGGGCAACACAGGGCTCATAAGACCAGGTCCTAAAGTCAGAGAGGCCTGAGTTCTGTGGCAGGACTTGCATGTGGGGCAAGGTACCCAAACTCTCTGAGCCTCAGTTTCCTTGTCTTTTACATGGATTTAATGGTGTTACCTCACGGGGCATAGTTAAGAGAATTAAGAAAGACAATAATGTAAAATATTTAGCACAGAACCTGGCATCCAATACGCACATCGTAAATGGTAACCATGTTTACTATTATCTAGCCATTAGGTCAAGTCAGCCCTTTACCTCCACAGGGCTCGGTTTCCTCATCGGTAAACCAGTGAGGTGGGGAGGGGCGAGGACAATTCGATCCTGGAAAATCCCTTCCAGATCTGGCATTTTATGGTTCTGTGTCCATGTTATTGGTGAAGGAGCGAGGAGAACGTGGTATAGAGCTCTAAAACATGTGCTCTTTTGGAATTCCTAGATCCCACTCTCCCAGGAGACAAGTTCCTTCTGGATGAGATCCAGGAAAGGGAAAGTAGCACTAGGCCTCCATTGCTGAGTAGCTGACTTTACTAAGCCTCAGTTCCCATAACTGTCAGATGGCACCACTTTATAGGGTTGTTGTGAGGATTTTCTGAGCTTCCTCTCCTCAGGGGCTTAGCACAGGGCACAGTGAGTAGTCACTCAGCGCTGGATGGTAATATTACGGAACCCAGAAGTAGCAGGTTTACCCTGCAAAGCTGTTGAGTCACCCCGTCAGCCCCGCAGGTGGCTGGGAGGGTGAGGTCTGTATCCTCAGGAGACCATCCACCAGCTCCAGCACCATCCAGGAGCATGCAGTCCACCAAGGGGGCCTCCCCCAGCCTGGGGCTGCAGGCCCACAGGAGTGGGGGAGGAGGACCTCTCTTACCAGGCCAAGGTTCAGAGTGTTGTTGTCATCTTCTGGCATGGGCAGGTACACAGCCAGGGCCACACAGTTGGCAAAGATGGTGAGCAAGATGATTGTCTCAAAGGGTCTGGTGTCAGGGTTAAGGAGACCCCTTGAGTGAGGGATTGTGGGATTGGCCGCTTTAAGGGGAGTGGTACAATACAGGCTGATGGGCACCATATTGCTCCTTCCCTGCTCCCCTGCAGGTTGTGGAAATGGCCAGGTTCTCCTCGGGAACAGGTAACTTCCACTTAGATGTGATGGGAGCTCAAGGCTCTGGCTGAGGGCTGAGGGCTACTCAGCTTCAAGGGCCAGGAAGACTTAAGACTCCACAGCAAGCACCTGCCCATCCCCCAACCCTACCTGCCTGGCTCCTGAGGAGCCATGACTTCCCGAGATTCTCACCAGACAACTTGAGGGGCTCACTCAGAGAACTGGCAAGGGATGCTGGGGGCTGAGTATCCGCAGGACAGGACGGGGAAAGGGGAAACTGCAGAGGTGGTACCTGAACACCCCCCTAACCGGAGGAAGGAATGGATAAGCCGACTGAGATAGCAGCCCACCCCGCCCCCTCCCCAGCCACGCTCACACACTGGCGTGCGCATCCCACACCCACTCACGCCTCGCTCCCAGGCACACCCACCCCCTTCACAGTCATTTCCCAGGGGGCACCCCCAGGCCCATTCCTTTATGGGTGAGCAGCCCAACCCACCCCATAGGCTGAGCCACAGGAAAGCCAGTGGTAGAGGTGGGGACAGGTTGGGGTGGGACGCCCACGATGCAGAAAGTCTGGACTGACTACCCCCTTCTCTTCCTGCTGGGGTTTGAGAAGAGGTGGGCCCCAGCAGCAGAGGCCTGCAGAGGAGAAGGCGCAGAGGTGCCGAGGATGGAGGAGAGAGAACCCCTCCCCCGGGGAAACCCGATCCCCCAGGAGACAGGCCAGGAGGAAGAGGCATGGGGTGCTCCCTGTCACCAGGTGCAGCTGTGGGCAGCAGGGCCGACTCTGAGCCCAGCCATTCCAATTGGTCCCATGTTTTTCTTATCCTTCTGATTAGCCCTTAGTCCCCTTTCTTCTAGGGAACAGCTGGTGGGAGCCCAGTCTTCCAGAACCCTACAGAAATATTTCAAATATTCCTGACCTCTCTCTGAGAAGGCACTTGACACAGACGCTCCCCCCAATCTCCTTCCTCCCTTCCCCAAATAACCCAGATATTTTCATCATTCTTCCTCTCAGAGCTAATGCAAACAGAGAGAGGGATTGCAAGTCCCTGTCCCCAGGGTGGTATGTCTGAGCTAAAACTGCCAGGCATCTCGGCCTGCCCCCAGAGCCCCTCACAGCAGCCCTTTGTTCAAGGCCATTTCTCCCTTGACTCCATCCTCAGCTAGACTCCCCTCACTCGGCAATCTCTTCGCCTTCACACCCTCCCACCAAGGGGGGGAATTTTCTTGCAGAGGCCCCTGCTTTTTTCTCTCCCATCCTGTATCAAAATGAGACTGTCGCCTCAAACCCCTCAGTGAAGCCCCACGATAATGGGATTTGGGCACACCTGCGAACCGCCCCCGTGAGCCATCCAGGCCCCTTCCGCAGATGGTTGTCACCAGGCCTTGGGCCGAGCACTCAGGCCGCAGCGGCCCCGCCAGCTACTCTTTCCTCTCAGCTGAAGCCTTCCTTCCCAAAGGCTCCTTACACCCTCCTAGGGCAGTTCACCCCGTCTCCAAGTCCCCAGTCCCCTCGGCCCCCAAAGTCTGTGATCTGTGACCATGCCCTGCCTCCCTCTCCCATATCACACGGGCTCTGCCTAACACCCTGGAGGTCCCAAAGGATACTTCCATTCCACGATGTTGATGCAGGCCTTCCTCAGAGGATTCTGGAGGGTCAAGCAGAACAAGGCCCGGGGTGGCCTTGGCAGAATCTCAGGAACGGGCTTCTTGGGCTGTTTCTTCCTCAGGCCCTCATCCTGGGGTGAGGACGGCTCCATGGCTTTCCTGGTGGTCTCACTGTCTCCTGCTCCCCCACCCCGCTGCTCTCTCCTCCCTGCGTCCCCAGTGCCCACCGCCTTGGGGACTGGACCGGCTGAGCCTGCTGGGCCAAGCGTGCCCTGCTGAGCCAGCCAGGGGGCGGGGGCAGAAGGATTACTCTCCCTGCTCCCAGCAAGTAAAATTAGCCTCCACTGGCTCCCTGCTTGCCTGGCCTGAGCTCCTGAGGCCAGGCAGCTGTCATTCCTTCCCAGCCCAGCCAGTGACATCCCAATATGTCCCTGAGGAGGTTGGTAGGGGGTGGCGGAAGGAACTTTCACACAGGCCTGGGATGGGCTCAGTGGGAGACAGGATGGAAGGCTTCAAGGCGGGGGCAACAGAGCGTTCAGGAAGGGGGTAACCTATGATATGGAGCCTCAAACTGTGGACGGGCTCCCTTGTGCCAAGATGAGCGTCCCCCTGCTCCCAATCCCACAGCACCCTCCGTAAAGGTGCTGGGTGGCCTAGTTTGGTGTATCTACACCACAGCCCCGTCCATCTCAGAACCTGTGGCTAGCTATCAGGCCAGACCTCGCCAGCACGTGCACAGCCCTGTCGGGGAAGGCCAAGTCCTCCACACCGGGGTGAAAGGCTCCCTCAGAAGAACCTCGAACGCGCACACTTCAGGCACCGTGTGTAGTGACTGTGCGTTGTACCCTCCTCCCTCCACCCCTCCAGCGCCTAACTGTACAAGGGTTGTGTCTCCTGCCTGGGACTCTGGCCCCTCCCTGACATTGTCCCTGGGATACACTAAGCTCTCTGTAAATGTTAGTTGAATGCAGAGCTAACCAGAACACCCCCGACACGGCACCCAGTAAGTGTTCCGACCCGCAGGTGGGAGTGACAAAGGGGCACCAGCGAAGTGAGGTAGACAACGATCTGGAATCACACAACTCAACAAATCTTTTATTTAGCTTCTTGGTACAAACACAGCGCCATATGGTCCCATTGCCCACAGAGGGATACAGTCTGAGGGGGGAAAACGCAGTCCTCAAGCAACCTGGGGGGAAAAGGATGAAAAGGCCACCCTGGGGGCCAGGGGTGGGGGTGGGTAATCGCCCTCCATGGAGGAAGCCGGAGGGCGCCACCAAGGCACGCACATGGCCCCCTCCCAAGTCTGATCTGGGCGGAGTGCAAGCCGCAGTCTGGCCTCCTTTCCTCCGGGGGTGGTGGGGGTGGTGGGGGGGGGGTGGGAGGCGGGGTGGCAAGCAAGCTCCCAAAGTGGACGCTAGGATCTGAGGCCATCTCGTGGACAGCAAGGGCATGGCTCATCCCAACCAAAGCCCGGCCGGCCTCCTGGGGAGTCGCAGACACAGGGCTGCACCCGTGGCGACGGAGGTCGAGGTCGGAGAGGCCCCACAGCGGGGGGTGCACAACCGGGAGCTGAGCTCCGACTTTCCGCAGCGCGGGGCTGAAGCCGAGCGGGAGGCGGACCCAAGGGATGGCCGTGCTGGGTTACCCTCCCGCGGCCTGGAGCGGGCGCGGCGCGCACCCGGAACTTCCCCAGGCCCTGCGCCCTCACTGCACCGACGGGGCTCCTCCGGTCTCTGTGGTGCCCCTCTCTCCCCCTCCCTGCACCTCTGCCCCAAGCTGGAAGGAATGAGGTCGGTGGTGGCGGTGGCAGAAGGACGGCGTCGCAGACACCCGAGCGCCGCGGGCCCGCAAACGCCAGGGGCCTGAGCCGCACCGCGGGTGACCCGGCAGTCCCCGGGCTGCTGTCGGGAGTGGGACGGCCCTGGCGGGTCCCCACCCCCACCCCCACCCCCACCAGCCCCCGTCCCGATCAGTGGCTGGATTCTTCAGACTCAAAGAACGGCGAGGAGGAGAAGCAGGAGGACTCGGACGAGTCGGGCACCAGGGAGGCGGGCGCCCGTGCCCCGCAGTCGCCGCGGCAGCCGGGCGGGGAGGCGGCGGGCGGCGCGCCGTCGGGGGCCGCGCTCAGCAGCTCCTGCAGGTGCTTGATGTAGCGGATGGCGGCGCGCAGCGTCTCCACCTTGCTGAGCCGCTTCTCGGCCAGCGCGCCCGGGAGGTGGCCGCGGAGGCGCGCGTAGCCCTCGTTGACGCACTTGACCCGCTGCCGCTCGCGCTCGTTGCGCTTCTGGATGAAGGCGGGCTCGAAGGGGTAGTCGTACACCCCGAAGGCACCGGCGAAGGGCACGTAGGGGAACACGCCCGCGTAGGCATCGTAGTACTGCGGCTCGGCCGGGCCCGGGTACAGCAGCAGGGGCACGTTGCCCAGGGGCTCGGCGGGGGGCAAGGGCGCCCGGCGCGGAGCGGGCACGACGCCCAGCTGCATGCAGCTGGGGGGCGCCAGGGGCCGCCGGTCCACCAGGGCCCGGCAGAAGTTATTGTTCATGGTGCCGCGTGGAGCTGCACCCAGAGGCAGACCCTCCCCGAATCGGCGCCGCCTGGGCTCTGCGCGGTCCCGACCACCGGGACGAGTCACATCGCCAGCAGCGGCCCCGGGGTACCAGGATGGGTTAGGGCTCCTCTTCGCCCTCTGGGGTGGCCTCCGAGATCTCCCTGACAGAAGTCATTGCTGTGGCCTTAGTGTGGCTCCTGGCAGAGGCTCAGCGGTTCCCTCTCCGATCCAGCCGTGGCGCCGCAGAACTCCGGGGACCCCTGCCTTCTTCCGTGGCGCCCATGGGCAGGGCAGCAGGCCTCGGCACCCCGGCTCCTCCTGAGCCCAGCATGGGCACCTCCCACGGGCACTAACCCTGGGACTTCATACTTGGGGCCACGGGTGCCCGGTTCTTGTTCCTCACGGCCTTGGGGATCCCCCCGCCGCCCGGGGCCTCACAACGGCGGCTGCTGTGAGAAGTGTGCCCGCTCAGCTCAGGGAAATGTTTCTAAAGAAGAGGAGAGTGAACGTATCAATTAGGAATTGTATTATGGGCTCTTCTGTGTCACCCCCACCCCCACCCCCCAGGGGGATCATAAGCATCCCGAGCCGAGGCAGTGTGGCTGCTGAGGAGGAGGAGGATAGGGGCAGAGCTGGGTTCAAACCTGTGTTCATCCTTTCATGGTTGGGGGGCCTCTCTGCGTCCTGGTTTCCACATATGGAGATAATTCAACATCCCTCACAGGAGATTAATAATAATATGTGAGAATCAAATGAGAAAAAATATGCCAAAAAACACCTCCTGGGCCTGGCTTATAAAAAGCGCCCAATGACCCTATGATTTAACAATTGCACTACTAGCTATTTACCTAAATGACACAAAAATACGAATTCAAAGGGATTCATGCACCCCGATGTTTATAGCAGCATTCTCTACAGTAGCCAAATTATGGAAAGTGTCATTGATAGATGAATGGATTAAGAAGACATGATGTGTGTATATATATACACACATATATAATGGAGTATTACTCAGCCATAAAAAAGAATGAAGTCTTGCCATTTGCAACAACACAGATGGAGCTAGAGAATATGACGCTAAGCAAATTAAGTCAGAGAAAGACAAATACCATATGATTTCACTCATGTAGAATTTAAGAAACAAAACAAATGAGCAAAGGGGAAAAAAGAGAGAGAGAGGCAAACCAAGAAAGAGACTCTTAACTACAGAGAACGAACTGTTGGTTACCAGCGGGAAGGGGGTGGGGCGATGGGGGAAACAGGTGATGGGGATTAAGGAGAGCACTTGTGATGAGCACCTTGCATTGTATGGAAGTGTCGAATTACTATATTGTACACCTGCAACTAGCATTACACTGTATGTTAACTAACTGGAATTTAAATTTAAAAAGGGGGGGACCTGATGACGTCATTTCCTTTGAGAGTGGGCATCAGGTCTTGGGAGGGATACCTTCCAGGGCCTTCCATCTAAGGGCTCAAAGACTGCTTATTGAACTAGCACAGTGGCCACCACAAGTCCACCAAGGGGGGTAACTCTTTCCTGAAGGAAGTGAATCCGATTCCGAGAGACTTGGGTGTTGCTGGGACTTTCACAGCCCTCTGCCCGGCGGGGCGGCGACACCAAAGCCTTCTGTGCCCCGTGCCCGTGGATCCAGGCTGCACCCTCCCACCCCGTCCTGGGCTTCTCCTTGCGGCACTTAACGGAAGTGTCTATTCTCTCACCTCTGTGTGCCCAGAGCCCGGCCAGCTCCTGGCCTGTAGCAGACGCAGCACAAATGCTCGTTGAATAACCGGCCGGAGGGCTAGGCAGCAAGTTGGGCTTGTCCGGGTCGGGCTCGGTTACACTCAGCCTTTCCCAGGCTCTAGGAAGCTGCTACCTCAGAAATAAGTGGCCCGCGTCGAATTTACAACCCTCATCCCATGTGGTTAGCGGATTCAGCCTGAGTGTCATTTCCTCCAGGAATTCTCTCAGGCCCTGTTCTCCCTACTTGTGTGTGTCCCCAGTGTCCTACAAATGCCGTCTTAGCCCCTGCAACACTACTCTATCATCGTCCTCCTCATAGAAGATGGAGTGACTGAGTGAGCTGCACCCACACGGGGAGAGATGGGGCAGCAGGAGGTCTTGGACCAGGCCTTTCCATGAGACAGAAAGGGGCTAGCTCTCTCCCTGACAGGGGGAGGTTGGTGACTCAGATTCCTGGGGGAGTCTCCTTCTGCACTTTCTCATCTTAGTCCTTAATTGGGTCCCAACTCTGTCGCCAGCTAGCTCTGCCCTTGCTGAATGAAAACTGGGAACAATGAACAGCGATTCTAAGCGTCATGGAGACTTGCATCTGCTCTCAAGAGTGGAAGCAAATGAGCCAGACATCAGGACAAATTCACATATCCCTCCCCTGCTCAACAGCATTTCAGGGCTCCCTGCTGCCTTCGACGGAAGGTTCTAGAAAATCTCTTTCCAACAGTCTCTCAGCTCCATCAGGACCAGTCTCCTCCTGTCACTCTCTGCTCATTCCTGACCTCTCTCCTTGGCTTCTACTGACAGGCCTTGGGACCCTTTTCATAGCTTTCTTGATTTTCCCCATTCCTGCCAACCTTTGAGGGAGCTCCCGCCCATGCTGACTGCCTGAGCTCAGCAGCTCCCAACATGGACTCTCAGTTTGTGCCTTCTGAGTCTTCAGCCAGACTGTAAGAAGCCACCAGAGGGCAGGGGCTTGGCCCTTCATTCTTAGCTAATGCTCTCTGCCCCTTGCCCAGTGTTGGGTACATAACACTGCTGAAAATTATTTGCTAGCAGTGCCCTGTTTGGGTAAAAACATGAGATCCAGACTGTACCCTCCCACGTGACCCCTGTCTATTCAAATTTGATTTAATTATTTAAATTTAATTTGATAGAGGTCAGAAATTTGTATCTAGTGACAATTTTACAAATATAGCTTAATATCTATTTGTGTTGACTCAATATTCAATACTTATTTATGTTCCAGACATACTGTTCCCATTTTTTTCATAAAACCATTCAGACAAGTGACAAACAAGAAACCTCACAGCCTTACGGCCCCTGAGGCACTTCTCTCTACTGGCAGGAAAGGCTCGTAACCTGGCCGGGAGCCCAGGTGAGGACACACCCGCCACTGCATTGTGTTCTTCTTCTTCTGCCATCGAACCCCCCACCCCAGACCAGAAGCCGAGGACACAGTGTGGTAGGTTATCCCCGAGAGGCAGGAGAACCGTTCACTCAGCACTTATTTACTGGGGCCCTTGTGTACACGAGGGGTCGCTCTGGGCGCTGGGATAGAGCGGTGAACAAAACACTGTAGTGAAATAACAGTAATGATAATTCTAGCTGTTATTTATTATTTGTGATGTGCGAGGCACCGTGTTACGTGCTTTCCATGGACCGTCCCATTTAACTCCTACACCATTCTCACGAGGTCAGTGCTAAGATCACCCAGTTTTAAAGGTGAGGAACCTGAGGCTCATAAAGGTTAAGGTACTGGTCCAAGTTTCCACAGTTGGTAATTTCATAAACTAACAAATCTAAATGACCATACCCTTCCTCACCCCTTCTCCCAGGATGTCTCCCCGCGGCTTCACATTTGAACCAAAAGATCAGAGGAGCTTGTTTTGACCTAACACAAGTATCTTATTAAATTATGATTCCTGTTGGAGGGGATGTCCCCCTGCAGATCCGAGTAATCCTGCTGTGATTGAGCATCTGCTCTGGTGACAGAGGTTCCGCAGGTCACCTTGGTCAACCTTGGGAAGGGAGCGCCCCCTTGAGGATATTCTCAGGAGGGTGGCCGTGGAGCTCTGCTGGTGGAAAGGCAGGTAACTGGGATGTAATCAGACTGAGTCAAGCACCAGGAGCTGTACCCCAGGGAACCTGATAAAGAGCCCCCTTGCCTGAGCTCAGACACCCTGAATAGTGGGATGGTCCACACTCAATGATCTGCAGCCTGGTCAGGATCTGATCAGCAGCCAAGAACTGCTAACCCTTCCGCTCAGGCCGCCGGACTGGGCAGAACCATTTGCTAACAGTGCCACCGTGTGGCGAAGACAAGCAATGGCAGTAGCTGATCGATGAAATTCCAGGTCAGGATCTCATGACTGTGAAAGTTTTAACCAACTTCCTGTTATAACTCCCTTTGGGAACTGTGTTTCCAGATCTTTTGGAAATCTAGGGGGACAGGAAGACGCTCCCCAATGAAGAGTCACTCAGTTTTCTGTTAACATGCACGAATTCTCTTCCTGAGTTTGTGGATCAATTCGCATCCCTTAAACTTTCATTATATACAGATACATAAAGTACGTATAATCAAGCATATTTTGTGATTTGTTTTGAACAGAAAATAGCACATTGTGTTAGTATTAGGCAACTCACTAGAGAGAAGTGTGGTTCAGAAGTCAGTGTAGGAACTCCCCCCACCCCCACCCCCTCATCTCCCCCACCACGCCCCCCATTCCCGCACACCTTAGCATTGGTGGTGACTATTGACTGGGTCAAGTTCAACCAACCCATAGGTTGCTTTAAGTAGCCACAAAATAGCACCCATGGGCAACACTGTCCATGTTTCAAAGGGGCCCTGGCTCCTCTCTGGGACTGAGGGCATTCCTTGCCTGTGGCATTCCCCCGCCTCCACAGTTCTGCCCCACTCCAGTTTAATTTCACCCTGGCATGGCAGAGCAGATGTGCTTGGCGAGAGGCCACCTGATATTCTTCCATGAAGCTCACTTCATGACACAAGACACTGAGCTTCCCCTTTTAGGACCTCGATATGTTCACACCATACAGCTGCTTTGTTAAAGGCCGACTGTCATCAAGTTATTATACAAAGGACTCCATAACCCCCAATCCAACTTGTAACAGAGAGAGTCAGTTGCCAGAGGGGGTGTCCTGGGCTTCCTCCCCAAAGTCTTGCTCTTCCTAATTGTGCAGCATGTAGCATTAGCCCCACCAGTCTTAGCTACTTGTCACAACCCCCCGGGATGGCACATTATTATAACTCCTTGCTGATGGTGTCATGAGCACTGCCTGCTGACCCCTGTCCCAGCCTTGCCCCAAGTGTCCAGTGGCTACCTAGCCCCATCTCCCCACTTTGCCTCCCGCTGTACTCTTGGTGGCCCACGGGCAGCCAGCGGGCGCTCTCCCCAGAGCACCTCCTGACACCGCCTCCTGACCAGGTTGTCAACTGGAAGCGAAAGAATGCCTGTCTTATACTTCTAAGACAATAGTACATGCTCAATAAATGTTTGTTGATTGACACTCACTGGGAATCCCTGGGGAGGGCTGAACCATCATTTATCAAACAAAGGGAGATGTGAACTTCCAAAAGGCTGGACCACTTAAGGAGCAGGTAACCTACTTTTCTACCTTTGTAGCTTCTCTCACTGTCTTCACTGGGACTGGAGCCAGAGGGGGGAGTCTGAGGTCAGAAACTGGCTGGACATGGAACGCATGGCTTCAGCAGTGGGTTTAGGGGAAGTGAGTTCACGGTCCTCTGCTTCTCCTACCACTCTGAGAGATTCCTACAGTTGACAGATCCAAGATGGTGCTTTTCAACACCTGAATCGAGACTTCTTCCAGAGCCCTGCCACCCCCTGCTGCCAAAACCTGGGAGGATTTATAAGAAAAGCAAGCACTCAAAATGACAGAGTGGGGGGCCTGGCTGACTCAGTCGGTGGAGCATGCAACTCTTGAGCTCAGGGTCGTGAGTTTGAGCCCCACACTGGGTGTAGAGATTAGTTAATTTAAAAAAATGTTTTTAAGGACAGAACTCATTGGCTTTGTGCTGTCGTCTTGCACATCCCCCAGCCTCTAGCAAGGTGGTCAATAAAACTTTTCCCCAAAAGCTCCATGGTCAAATACTTGGAGAAATGCAGCCCCCTTTATTCCCTTTCCAGGAGATTCACAGAGTCCATTAGCATCCCAGAGAAAGCCCTGCAGTAAAGAAAGCTGTTTTTGGTTAACTCAGAAATTCCCAAATGGACCTCAGAACACTTCTTTTTCCCTCAAGCCTGCTAACATCAAATAGAATACATTTCAGGGAATTGTACTTTAAATCTCCAGGACAAATATGTACTTTGTCTTTTTTAAGTAAGAAATGTCACAACCTTCCTTGGGAGTCTGTCTTATAGCCTCTAACTCTTTCTAGAAGGATAACCTCACCACTCCCACCATATTCATATGCAACACCCCCAAATATACGTATAACATACATAATCATTTCAGAATCTCAATGATATGACACTGGATCTGACCAAGGAGAAGGGGCAGCCAGGCCCAGTGACCACACGCCCACACTGTGCCTTTGGAAGGTTAGAAACTACCTTGTCCTCTGGGCAGAAGCAGAGCTTGTGTGGGCTGATTTCAGCCCCTCTGCCCCCACCCCTGCACGGGACGAGGCAGCACTGCAGTGGCCTCAGCCCCAGAGCTGCCTAGCCTCCCACTGCCCGCCATGCCATCCTTCCTGCCTCAGGTTCTGGAAAGCTCTGGTTGCTCCCGAGCAACCTGTGTGCACCACTTCCAGCGAGAGAACAGCACTGCAGACCTTTGGCACGGGCTGACGGAGACATGTGCTCAAGCATGGCATCACTCTGCTGAGCATCTCCAAGGAGAGGAAAGGAGTGGGGAAAGGAAGCCTGATGGGGATTAGGTGCCTTCTGACGTCGGATACTTTGCTTGCTGCTCTGCTCTCCCTGGCTTGTGTAACCCTCACCCCCCTCACACTTCTACTTCCAGAAGAGGAAATGGAGGCTCAGAGAGGTGAAGAGAGCTGCTCAGTGTCACACAGCTTGGGTGCAATTTACCAGAGTTGGGTCAGGTTGATACAGCATGTGTCCTGCTGTCTGTCAGTTCACCCACCGAACACCTCCTAGGCTCCTTCCAGGAAGCTGCTGTGGGATGGGGCCCAGCACAGGACAGCCGCAGGAAAGACTGCATGTTGGTAACAGTGCCCATCACATACCTAGCGCTCTCCTATGTGCCAGACACGGTTCTCAGTGTGCTCTCCTCAGCCCCAGGAGGCCAACACGGACAGTATCCCGTGTTACAGGTGAGGACGAGAAGGCTCAGAGAGGTTAAGCGTCTTGCCCAAGGTAACACAGCTGTACAGGACAGAGCTGAGATTCATATCCAGGTATCTGGGCTCCTGAGTAAGCACCACTCACCATAGTACTTATAGGGAGAAATCCCACCAGAGAGGCAAAAGCAAACGGAGTTGAGAGGAGAAGGTAAAGGCACCCAGCATGACGTGAAGGAAAATGCACTGTGCTACTCTCTCAGCTCAGCTCCTGACTTCCCAGAACTGGGACGTGGGGACAGGAACGTATGCCTGATCTGTTTGGTGATCAAATGGGTAAGTTTGTAAAATCACTCTGTGAACTACAAAGTTCCAGACAAATGTAAAAGGATTATAATTATTAATTATGTGATTGCCATTTTAAAAGAAGCGGCCACCAATCGGGTGCCATCTCTCTCTACATGTTGGAAGGGTGAGAGCTAAGGGGTCGGGAAGATTCTCAAATATCCTTTCAAGCCTGCAATGAACATTCTTGCATTTACCATCAAGGGACCCGCTAGATCTACCTTCAGAAACAGTGACCTGCTGGCTCAGGAGCCATTGAGAGCTTGGAATTCAGAGCACGGCTGGACAATAGCTAACTTATAAGATTTCCTCCATCTTGGCCACTATGGTAAATGACACAGATAGGTGTGCTTGCACACACACACACACACACACACGCATGCACGGCCAGTGATTTAATCCTCACTACAAGGTAGGTACTCTTATTATCCTTATGTTGCAGATAGGAAACTGAAGCACAGAGAGGTAAAGTAACTTTCCTAAGGTCACACAGCTGATAAATATTAAACTTGGCACTTAAGAGAAACTGGCATACACCTTGAGACTGGCTAGGCATCATCCTTTTGTCCGGGGGTGGCATTTTTAACAGCCTAAGAGAATGAGTAAAACGAAATTCAAAAGAAGAAAGACCATTCCAGTCATTGCTCTGTCTACCCACACTCCCACC